GTGGAGTAAGAACCTTAGCCACCCGAATTATTTGATCTGAGCCCGGGTACACTTTTACGATTCTACCTAATGGCCAGGAGAGAGGCGGAGCGTCGCCGGTCTTAACCACAACCATCGTACCTACGTCAAGGTTCTTACCTGACTTGATCCACTTCCCACGCGATTGGAGAGTGTTCAAGTATTCTTGCGACCAGCGTCGCCAGAAGAAACGAAAAGACTGTTGGACGAGCTTCCAACGAGTCTGCAGGGAACTCTGCGAATCGGGAACGTCCGATTCTGGTATCGAGAGCAATGGTCTACCGATTAGGAAGTGACCAGGAGTCAAACACTCCAAATCATTTGGATCAGAAGAAGCGGGAACAAGCGGACGCGAATTCAACGCCGCCTCCACTCTGCACAGCACGGTAGAGAGTTCTTCTAGCGTCCAAATTTGGGAGGACATAGTACGTATGAGCAACGACTTGGCTGATTTTACAGCAGCTTCCCAAATCCCACCGAAATGGGGAGCACCAGGGGGATTGAAATGCCACTCGCATGGCAAATGAGCAGTGATACTATCTCTATGGTCCGGATGGTTAATCAACCGACGCAACTGTCTTGCCGCACCCACAAAGTTAGTGCCACAATCCGAATGAATCGACGAAGGCAGGCCTCGACGAGCAACGAACCTATCCAACGCCAACAGAAACGCATCTGTCGACAGAGCAGTCACAATTTCCAGATGAACTGCCTTGGTGGTCATACAAACGAAGACAGCGATGTACACTTTACAGATACGAGCTTTCCGGAGACTAAGTTCCTTCATCTGCAAAGGCCCCGCGTAATCGACACCTACCGTAGAGAACGGATGAGCTTCCTGAACTCTAAACCCTGGCAGATCGGCCATCTGAGGTGTAGGGTTAGATTTCGCGATTCGCGCACAGATCGTACACTTACGAATCACCCTGTGAACAATTAACCGAATGTTCACGATCCAGAATCTTCTCGACACCACCGCGGTGAGCAACCGAGGACTAGCGTGACAAGCATATTGGTGCCAATGTCGAACAATGAGAACGGCGAGATGCGACTCCTTTGGGATAAGCATGGGATGGATTCTGCGTTGAGCCAAACACGAATTCCTAAGCCGACCTCCTACACGGATTACACCGTGTGAATCCATGAACGGCGAGAGACGAGCGAGTGATTTATGTCTTATTTCTTCACCTTTGGATAGGCACTCCACCACTTCCCGCAAGAAGCACACCTGAGCACACTTCACTACAGCGATCAGTGCAGCGTCCAACTCCGACTGCTGCAAAAATCCAGTTTTGACCTCCTTCCTTTGACATCTGAGCACGAACCGACGTAGCCGAGCAACTACTCGGACCATATTGTCGAAGGACGAGAATCGAGCATACCATTCGATCAATGGCTGAGCTTGTGTCAACAAACACACCGGCTTGACTTCCGGTAGCTGGTCTAAAGTTAAATCAACAACACTTTTCGGCCAGCTGTCACTTGATGACGTTAGAAAGGACGGTCCTTTCCAATATAGCGACGCCTTGACAAGTTCCGAAGGCCGAAGACCCCGAGAGCAACAATCAGCTGGATTCTCTTCTGAGCTGACATGAGACCACTGACACTGGGGAATTGCAGTCTTGACCTGATGAACTCTGTTGGACACGAACGTCTTAAAGGCTGAATGAGGGTTGCTCAACCACGCGAGCACAATGGTTGAGTCCGACCACGCGAACACCTCATTAATCACCAGCTGGTTTTCCAAAACGCGCTTCAATCTGCACAGCCACAGTGCGAGCAACACTGTTCCAGAAAGTTCAAGTCTTGGAATTGTCATGGACTTCATAGGCGCCAACTTTGTCTTGGACCCAAGTAGGTAGATGCGCGTATCTCCCGACAGATCAGTCACGCGAAGGTATGCTACCGCAGCATAGCCTTTTCCCGAAGCATCTGAGAACCCGCATAGGTCGTAACGACATCCAGTAGAGCAACCGATGTAGCGAGGAATCTCGATTCCAGTCAACCAACCTAGGGAATGATAAAAGCTAACCCATTCTTCAGCTAGGTCCGATGGGAGCGGATCATCCCACCCAATGTGTGCGAGCCACACGCGTTGCATGATCGTCTTAGCGTAGAAGATCGATGGAGCTAACAGACCTAATGGATCAAAGATCCTGGCGATCATTGACAGAACACCGCGTTTGGACAATATCAACTTAAAATTGTTAGTTCGGAAGGAGAAGTAATCTTTGCCATGATTCCACCTCATGCCCAGCACCTGTGATGCATCCTCTTGGTCGAATGTCAAGGGATCTCTTGAGCAATCTTCCGGTGGCAGGTGACACAGTAACTCTGGGGTGTTGCTTGCCCACTTTCTCAACTGTAAGCCGGATCTGGCGAACGTCTTGATCAAATTTGACTGCAGCAGCTCTGCAGCCTCCAAAGATTCGGCACCAACACAGATGTCATCCATATACGTTTGGTTATAGAGCGCAGCCTTAACTTCTGGAAGATCTTCGCAGTCGTTATCAGCAATAAACCTAAGTACACGCAGGGCTAAATAGGGAGCACTATTCACACCGTACGTGACCGTGTTCAGGGTGTACTCTTTCACCACTACTTGCGGTGAATCCCTCCACAGGATATATTGGTACCCCCGGTATTGTGGCAATACCTCGATCTGGCGGTACATCTTGCATATATCCGTTGTAAATGCCACTCTATACGTCCGGAATCCGATCAAGACATCAACAATGTCCTGTTGTAACTTCGGACCAACCAACAAGCACTGGTTGAGCGATATCCCGGAATGACATTTCGCAGAGGCATCGAACACTACCCGCAGCTTCGTTTCGTCTCCTTCGGTCTTGTAAACGGCATGATGAGGAATGAAATATTGCCCTTCTCCCTCAGCGCGGGACATATGGCCTAATTCTTCATACTCGGCCATGAACTTACGGTATGCATTATACAGGATTTTATCCGCGGACAATCTTTTCTCTAGATTCAGCAGACGATTAAGAGCCACCTGTCGAGAACCCGGAAAACCTTTTACTGACCGACCCGAGCGAAATGGGAGAGGCACAGAAAAGCGACCACAAGAATCCCGACTCATCTCAGAGCAGAACAGCTCTTCACACAAACCATTTTCTGTAAACTGAGGCGGAGCAGTCTCAGGTTCCTCTACCATCCAGAATCGTTCCATGATGGACTCCATCGAAGAATCCAATGACGTCAGCATGGATTGAGCACCAATGTCTGGATGTTCCTGAACTGGACCAATCAGGACCCAACCGAAAATCGAGCTATAGACGGAGGGAAATCCTGGCCCTAACGAGCTGCTTTGGTTATTCCAAATTTGCGGGAATATATCTGCACCGACAAGCAGGTCAACCGGAGCTGGTTTATCGAATTGCGGATCTGCTAACGATAAATGATTACATCTGGCCCGCACCTGAGCTGGCAACTGTCGCGCTGGCATGTTGGAGGTAATCGAGTCGAGCACCCATGGTTTCACCTGAATGGCTGGAGCGGGATTGTCGCGAGGCTGGATCGTCAGCTGTACAACACCATGCACATCCGGAACCTTTTGACCCGATAACCCAGTGACAGGTACTGTCCAACGCGAGGGCTGTAATCCCAAACGGTCACAACACGCGGAAGTGATCGCGCTTATCTGCGACGCGGAGTCTATTAAGACGCGTACGGATCTGCAAATTCCTACAGTATCTCGAGCATGTACTACCGCAGTACCGAGCAATACTGTGGGCGCTTCTTCACGACCTAGCAGAGCAGCTGGCGGACTAACTTTCTTCGGGTTAGGTTCTCGATGAAGCAATGCATGATGGCGTCTCTTGCAGACGGAACATGACGAAGAACATTTGAACGACATATGACCTTCACCCAAACAGACCATACACAACCGAAACGTACATACTATTTCATAACGTTCATCAACTGACAAAGCCTTAAATGTGGGGCAGTCTGCTAACCGGTGAGCGCCAGAGCACTTGACACATTTCATCGACGCAGGTTTTGCCGAAGACAACAACGCAATCTTCCCTTCTCGACGGGGAGCACTGGACTTATTACGAACAGGTTTGGACGAGCTTCCGGTCTGCTGGACTCCAGCATTCTCTATGACTTGCATTCTTTGTTTCACGAACTTAATCACGTTTTGAATGGACGGGTACTCTTCAGTGTTTTCCGACTCAAACAGCCGCCTTGAAGACACTGGTAAGCACCTAGCAGCCAACGAAAAGAGCAAAAACGAAGACAGATCGGGAATTTGGAGCGATTCAAGAATTGCAATGTTTTCATCAAACGTCGATAAGAAAGTTTGCAGAGCGGCAAAAGTTTCCGAAGTAGCGACAGGAGCAGACACTAACTTCTCTATGATCGACGACGCGAGCTTGCGAGGTTTATCGTACCTCTCTACTAAGGCATCCCAAGCTAAAGTATACGTTTCACTTGAAACCGTAAACCCTTTAACTACATCTTGCGGACCAGCATGAAGACACCCCAATAAATAATAAAACTTTTCTATATTCGGGATATTTGGACGTTCATCAACCAATGCCTTAAACCTGTCCCGAAAGGCTGGCCAATTCTGGCATTCACCATCAAAATATGGCAATGGTATGTCCGGTAACTTTGATGGTACTAAGGCTTTACCAACCATAGGACCTGAGCAATCCTTAGAGGTACTAGCTGAGCAGCTAGCGTTATCCGTGGTAACAATATCAGTCACCTGATGAATAGCACCAACGCCAGTGACAGGAGCAGTCTGAGCAGCGTTGCATAAGGCTTTAGCTTCAATGACCAACGATCGAGTATCGGTCTCAACATCCAACGAGTACTCCCCCAGTTGGTCTAAGCTAGATAGTATGTCTAACAGGTTGCTATTCTCTACCTCAAAATTAGTCCACAATGTATCAAGGTCGGCTATAGCTACAGCTAGCTGAGCTCGACTTAATTGATCAGAGGCTGAACTAGTAGCCAACACGTGCACTTGACGAATCCGAGCTATTATCTGATCTCTGCGTAGGATCACTCGGTCCTTCGCTCTAACATCACGTTCACCACCAGCCATAGTACCAACAACTTGGTATATATCAATAGGAGCAAATGAGAATAATAGTATAGAGCAATACTAATATACTTAACAATGTAAACAACACCACTCAACAGTATACACCAAAACAAAATCAACAAAGAAATAATAATAACAAGGGGGGAGCACCTCCAATTATTCTAAATAATGTAAGAGTGTAACCGGGCGACCATTTACATAATATAATACAGATAAAATTATAATAACAAGAGCAAATTAAATAATTAAATATATATCTTATAGTATATCACAAACAAGTATAGGTATATCATAACATATACACTAATAATTATATTAATATTAAACCCAACTATCAACAACAAGATAATGATAAAATAAATTATAAACAAATGAGCATTGTATTTAAAAGGTAATTAATATAATATATAATAACTAGACCAGCAACTAGCGAGCAATACCTGTACCTGATATACAAATATTAGAAAATATATTCAGACTATACAATGGAGCAATGTATTCACTACAAATAAATGTAGTAGATAATAATATTTCAATTTAATTTAATAATATAAAACTGATAATATATCACTCACTCGAGCAGAGATATTGTGGATATAATTCAACAATCAGCTAATAAATATAATCTCACCAAGTCAATAATACAACAATGACTGAGCAGCCGTTGGATTTAACACATACATTGACAAGTGACAATTAAATTATTAAATTGAATATATTAATATTGGGAGCACAATAAATTACACACTATCATATGTTGCTGCTAATGCAAGCCTAATTACAGTTTAACACTACTGGAACTAGATGCAACATATAAAAAGGGAATAGGAATAAATGAGCAATACACCTTACACCCTTACGCTATAATTACATTCAATAAAGCATCACTTACCCAGATCCTGAGTACCAAGGTCTAATGGAACAATCAAACCACGCTCTGCTACCAAAATGTTGCGTCAGTGAGCCTCTCTATCACCTATCGAGGTTGTCACTGATCACACGGTCCTCCGGAACCTTGGAAGTGATGGTGTGCTTTAACCCGGTTACGTATTGCTGAACCAGACTAAAATGAATGTCGGCTCTTGCAGATTCGAATCTTGCTGTCGGGTTGGATCAATATTAGGGGGTAGGAGGAACGATAATAGTGTTAACAACAATGAACTAATACAGACAATGTTGATGCATGTCGATACTTTGATATAATTTGCAGTGTTGGTAGATTATATAATGTCGTGGCTGTTCAATATATGAGTTCATATCGATTAATATATAGCGAGTGCAATAATAGGCGAATGTACAATAATATGATAAGCGTAATTGATAACTCGGTGTTGGAACAGAGTGAGGTAGATACGACAATTTTCGGTAGGTAGTGGTAGGTTATGGGTTGGTAGTGGTGTGCATTCAGAACTCATCTGCATTAACCCATTAGCGCCGTGCGTTGCCATATGGAAACATAGGTATACCTATTTTTATAAGTTAATTTCTCATTGGAAATTTACTAATAATTATGGAAATAACATAATGTAATAGATTATTGTTTAAAGATAAGATATAGTTAAATATTTTCGTTTATTGTAATCATTTTATTATATCGTTGTTTGACTTTGCGTTGACGTCGGTCTGAAAATGGATATTTCTTTCGAATGATAATTTTGATTACCTTTTATTGTATATTTTCTTTATTCTATGTAAAACGTATTTAATACAATATTATCTAACCATCCTAAAAGTGAAAATAATACAAATATTTACGTATTTATATAAGTCTAAGTTGATGTTGCCATTTGGCAACGCTAGACGTTAGAACATTTTTAATAGAATTTTATTTTATTCGATTAAAATATTTTCTCTCTGAAACTTACATCTTTTAAATGAAGATGGATGGAACATTTTATTGAACCGCTATATCCTCATGTTGATACAGATGTAGATTCTGCAGATGAGGACGGTAGAGGTAAGTCTCTTATTTATTATCTTTTATTCGATAATTTTATACATATATATATATATATAAAATTCTACACGCGAGTTTTGAGTTTGACAATGTCAGTTCTCGGAGTATTACAAGATACAAATCGGCTACAAAACAATGAACGGTTTAGGCGTTAATTATGTGAAGATTTAGACAATCAATAAATATTTCTCAAATTAATTACTACGTAAATGCTTTTCCAATAGTTGAACCTTTTGAGTTATCTGACAAATATAAAAGTGGATAACACTTGTATAAAATCAAAAGTAAACCTAGTTGGATAAAGGGCCGATTGATATTGAAAGACAAATGTATTTCCTGATCCCCGATTATGTCTGTATCCAAATAGTCATTGTTCGATCCGTTTGTCCATTGTACCCACTTCACGTTGCCCCGGTCTTGGACATGATCCACGACCGCGCTCGGTCACTCTTAATGTTGGTGACACTGTTGCCCGCCGCCCTGGTCCGGGTAATGATGCGGACGCCGCCGCCAACGGCTCTTTGCTCGTCGTTCTGCTCGTCGTCCGTATTCACGTGCTCTCGTTTTGCAAATCCATAATTTGTTGTGCCAATAATTCGCATAATTTGTTGTGCCCCAATATTTGGTGATTACAGCTCAATCTCACCGTTCGCTCGTGCTCAGCCATTTAATCTTGTATACGTGTCGTGATCCGTATCGCGTGATACGCAGTTCGGCGCTCTCGACATCCACGTGGTCGATTCCATCCCGGAGTTTTCACACTCAAGAAGGAAAGCAGATCAGCTTCCGTTGAAGTTCATCATCGAGGTCCAGCTTCTTCAGGTGGTGCTCCCATTTCCCCATATACATAACATAACATATTGTTAATGGTGCTCTCCTTATATTATTTGTTGAATATATATTCCGTTAATTATTATTATTTGTTCACTAATTAATTACTTCTAAGCTCCCCATCGCTT